GTCTTTCTCGTTTGTTTTTCCCTTGCACTCTCGTTGCAAACACTCGTTTTGTTAATCTTTCATTCGACATTCTTCTTTCTTTTGTCTGAGCTGTTTTAATGCGTATATAAGAGTTTTTGATTTTCCCTATAATTATTTGTCATTTTTAGTCCAAACTTTTCCCATGACCTTTTTTCTGCTTTCACAGCTATTTTAACCTCTTTTCTTTTTTCTTTATATGTCTCATAGTCTTCAGGGCGCTTTGTACTTAGATATCTCTTCCATTTTTCTTTTTTGTTCTTTATTTTCCTTCGTATTTCGTCCGTCCACCTTTCAGTTATCCTCATGCTAGTATTTGCTATTTTTGTCTTTCCGCAAGTTTCCTCAGCAGCTATGATTAAGTTGGTCTTGAGATTTGCAAAGAATTTTTGATTTGCTTGATAAAGCAAAGAACATCAATAGAACCAGACACACTAACATATATAAAAAAAAGACTAAAGTGGTATGAACATGTAAGAAGAACCAGCGACAGCAGATGAATGAAGAAGATCACCGCATGGAGTCCCATAGGAAGGAGGAAAGGAGAACTACCCCGAAGATCCTAGAGAAACGAAGTAGACGAGACCATGAGTAAGAGAGGCCTAAACGATGGAGAATGAGATAACAGAGAGAGATGGAAACGATTGAGCCAAGGAAGGCAGTGAATACTGTAGAATCCCTAATATATATTTATATATATATATATATATATATATATATATATATATATATATATTATATATATATATATATATATATATATATGGGAATAGCATTTTCACACTTTATGGAAGCATTGTAAAGATGTTTTTTTTAGAGGTATAGAACTTTGAAATGGAATAAAACAAAGATGATTTGTATAAATTAACATAAAATTGACTTTGTTTGAAAGATAATCTTTTAGCATTATAATTTAAATAATATTTCTGGTACATAACCTTAATTTCTAGCTCTGACGTAGTATAATCTGCAGGTTCAATTTCATCACTTTTTCCAATATTTGTCGCCGTATATCGGCAATGTCGCGGCAAATGTTGTGCTCCAAGTGGTCAATCGTTTCATTCTTATCGGCGTAGATTAGCACCTTCACATATATCCACCAAAAATAGTCTAGCAATGTTAAATCGCACGAACTTGGAGGCCTATTCACGGTCCAAAACGTGTAACTATGCAGTTACCAAACATTTTCTTCAATCAATCAACTGTGGCACGAGCTGTGTGACATTTTGTGCCATCTTATTAAAACGACAACGCATGCACATCACAGTTATTTAATTAAGAAATAAATACGGCAGTAATCAGCGCTCTATAGCGGTCACCATTAACTATAACGTTCTGGCCAGCATCGTGTTTGAATAAGTACGGTTTAATGATTTTAATGATTTCACCAGACCATAAAGCACACCAAACAGTCAGTTTTCTGGATGTAATGGTTTTCCAACATACATTTGCGAATTATCTTAACTCCAAACAGGGCAGTTTTGTTTGTTGACGTAGCCATTTAACCAAAAGTGAGTTTCGTCGCTGAACAAAATTCGCTTATGAAAATCGGAATCACAATCTCGTTTTGGACCCAATTACTGAATCTACAATCTGCGCCTTGCGAGTCGATGATGTAGGTACCTTCAATTCTTGCGTGATTGAATAAGTTGGATTTTGTAAGCACGTAAACCAAGATCTTTCCGCAAAATCTTTCATAAAGTGGATAGACACGTATCTAACTTCTGCGCATGATGGCAGATAGACTGATTCGGGTCTTCCTGTATGATACGCTCTACAGCAGGAAAAATTTATGTGTGCACTGTACGATACGGCTGCGGATGCATATTATCATTTAGAGTAAACGTGGTTCAGAAACGTTCCATGGTAAATCGAATTACTTGCTCCGATGGACTATTATATCGACCATAAAATGGACGTAGTACGCGATATGTATTTCGAACAGAAATGCAATTTTCAAAATAAATCTGTACAATTTGGAAGCGTTGTTTGAGCATCAAATCAATTTGTGCCGAAATGCCAAACCGAACTTAACATTTATCACTTGACAGCTCTCAAAATGGCCGACAGTTAAAAAAGTGTTACCAACTTATATTTCTTGCCTCTAAAAAACACTCTTTATTGATGATGAACGGCATGTGGAATGCAAATTATAGATTCCCTTGCCGACTAATTTATCAATATGTCTGCTGTGCAAGTTTTAGAAAGAGGTAAATGAAGAATAAGAATCCTAAATTTTAGTAATATTGTCACAATACAAATTTTAATATTCATTTTATTATTATTTTAGGCAAACCTTTTGCAGTTATGGCGCTGAAAATAATATTAGTAACCATACTTCAGAATTTTGAAATGAAATCTATAGGTAAATTGGAAGATATAAAATTGAAAACTGACATTAGCGTTCGTCCGAAAGATGAATGTTTTCCCGTTCAAATAAGGAAGAGACAGTTTTTCGGCTGACAGTTTATTTAAATAAATAATTTGGTTTTGGTAATAATTTAAAAGTAATAAATTTATATTTTTTTATGTGTCTATTGAAGTTTATTTAAAACATGAATTTCCCCAATCAGGCTTGAAACGATGACAATTACTCTTATAAATGAATCAAAAATCATAATCATAGATATAATTATTTGTAAACTTACCAATTCGTAAAAAAATTAGAGAAATTCGAAATGTGACTATATGGCAGATATGTCCGACTTGGACATGGCAGAAAGCTTATGAACACAATTAAAATAAGAAAAACATCGTATCTGGCCCACATACTTCCAAACAATAAATAATCTTTGCACGTCATCATGCAAGGAAGAGTAGGGGCACAAAAAGGCCTGGAAAGAAAGAAGAAATCTTGGCTGAGGAATATCAGAGATTGGACTAACCTCAGTAATGAACAGATATTTCACGTTGCAAAAGATATTGAAGCGTTTAAAAAAGTGATCAACAACCTTCGGTTGTTTACGGATCAACAAGTTTACGGATCCTAAACTCCTGACCGAAAATGTACTATTGGTAGAACATAACATTTGAATTCTCGTAGCGCCTCCTAAAAATAATATATAAATTTATATCCCTGTGTGGCACTCTATTGGAATATTTTGAAACTACGAAACCGACAGCTACCGCCTACCACGTGCATAAATTCATTTGTTTTGTGACAATGGCACAAAGCAGTCGTAGTGAGCGTGTTTGGAGAAAAAAGGGTAAGTACTATCTTCAAATATTTATTTAATCATAAATAATTTGCAGCACATTTTTTATTCACTGTTTTCTTAAAAGATTGCACATTAATGTAAACGGTATAGTTTTTCAAAAAAATAAACAAATATTGAGTAATAACATAAAATGTTTATATCCTTTATAATTCTAATAACTCTACGTTAACATTTTTTTATGTACCTACTTCGTATAGGACATTTGTTGGTTACAGTTTTTATTTTCAGCATTATCAAAGAGGAATTATTAGAGTTTCTCAATAATTCAGATGCATCGGATGATGACTTTTCAAGTGATGACTATGACAATGATCCAGATTTCGAAAATAAAAACAACACGTCGAGTTCTGATGAAGCAAGAACAAATTCTGAAGATATATCTAGATCTATTTCGCCTATTGTAGAAACAAGTGATTCCAGCGATGTTTCTAGATGTATATCTTTGCCAGCTATTTCGGATACGTCTATTGTAAATCAACCTCATTCTTCTGGACGATGAAGATATACCAATTGTATGTGATATAATTATATATCAAGGGAGTTCAACATTTCCACAGTTATCTAGTGACGTGATTGTTTCATGCAACCAGAAACACTTTTTTTTTTTAATCTTTAAAGGGTACTTATAAAATCAAAAACAGAGATTATGCCAAAATGGTCATCACACGGTGGATTGACAACAAACCAGTAATAATGCTATCTACTATTTTTCCTCGAGGAATATAGATTATTGTAAGCGGTGGTAAAAAAAAATAAATCCTATGAACAAGTTTGCTGGCCAGAAGTAATTAAGGAGTAATATAAAAATGTAGGTGGGGTGGATTTAGTAGATCGTATGCTTACCGTTTTTCAACAGTATTTTACCATTTTTAGTGACCAATACCTACTAAAATTTTTTTGTAATTCAATTTATAAAGGATTTTGTAATAAAGTCCTCCATTTTTTTTAAATATTAGTTTAAAGTTTAATAAAAAAATCAAGTTTATTTTATTTGGAGCAGTATTTTATTCTACAGGAGTGTGAAGAATTATTCCGTAGTTGATGAAAAAAACCAATACATTGATATGAGACAAATTCATATTGAAAACAAAGGAGCATAGGCAGCGGTATGACATACGGCATGTCAGTGTCTACGTCCTGAAACATCCACGTCAGTAGTTACGGGTTAAACAAGAGAAGATTGACTGTTTTATGGATTTGCTAAATGAAATAATTCTGAAAGCAAGTTTTCTTGAGAAGCTCTTTCATCAAAAATCAAAAAGTTTTACTCAATTCTTTAAGAGGATATACTAAAACCTTTAGATACAAAATTAGGAAATCTCTTCGGAGGATTAGGAATCAAAATAAGAAACATAATCATAATAATCCTTCAATAACCAGATTAACAGGTTTTTTCAAGTCGACCCTTTTCAAGATCAACAATTCTTTCCCTACACGATCAATGATGAAATAAAAGTACACACAACAAAATGAAAACACCATATAAACACAATATGTATATAAAAGGGACTAACTGAAAAACTACTAAATTACAAACTGAAAAGAAGAACATACATAGGACGGCATTCCCTTGAAAATATAGAGCAAAATCTAATGCCAGATAAGGTCAGATTTTAGTAATTTATAAAATAAATTGAATTGAATACTTTATATTTTAATATAAGTTAAGTTTAGTTACTATTAATACTCTGATAGTTTGATCAAAGGCAGAACAAACAGCTAATCCTTGTTTATCGACACACCAATCGAAAGAAGTTATGGGCTGATCGGATAATGTGGAATTTTGTAAACAAGATATCTCTCCTGGAATTCCATAAGGTATTCCATCTGCATCTTTTTCTACCCTTTATCGGGATATGTGCTAAAAAATAAAATATAGATTAAGTATAACTGTGATATATCTGTACAAATTATAGAGATAGATAGTGTGTCAATATCGATTTGTATTTGTGCAAAAAGTGTTTGCTTACTTGTCTTAACTATTGGTTGTAATTTGCACTAGCATAGAAAGAGTGTATCTATATAAATTGTTATTTATACAATAATAAAGTTTTGCTTTTGTCATGAAGGTAAAAAAAATAAAATTATTATATTAAGCTATATAGTTCTATATTGAAAATGTAACTAGTAATCTAGTACCTAAATATAAATATATCTTAATAATGAACACATTGTAACAATCTGAAGAGGAATGTAGCAGCTGTTCTTTATATTTTATTTATTGTTTTTATTTAAAAAAACACTATATATTATTGTTATTGTTTAGAAGTTTGGCCTTTATGGTGAGTTTTATTTTTGGTACTGCCACCAAAACATTATTGCATTATTGTTCAACACCTCGTGTTCAATCATTATCAGCAATAAGTGGATTTGAAAGGGAACGAATAATAGGAAATTTAAGCTAAAAGCTGCTAAAAAAAATGCTTTTAGTGATTTGTTCAGCCCCATTAGATCAACTGGCAATGAATGGCTGACTATTTCTCGTCTTACGTTAACCGAATGACATTGCAGAACGGGACGAGTGAAAAGAGGAATCCAAAGCACGTGGTGGTCGTGTGTATTAAGGTATAAAAAAAGCGCTTATTAAAAGCTTAAAAATTTTTATTATAAAGAAGATCTTTTCGGAATTGTATCATTCCATCATCAGTTTAATAAAAAGTTGTTAAAAAACATTGTGTGGCCACATAAAAAACATTCGATGGACATCTGGATTTAAAAAATAATCTTCATGTTAGGGTAAAGCACCCAATAGTCAGCCTCGCACCAGTAGTCGGCCTTTACAGTCTTTATTATAATGTAAATAGTGTTGAAATTAGTTTAAACCAGTGAAATGACTGTTGACAAAATCTATGTCCCTTCATTGGTCAATACGAACACCCCCGAACTAATAGCACCACAGGTTGATGAGCTGTACTCGTTCATTTTCACTCCCGCCACAGACAAGTCTAGACGATTCGCTGTTGCAATATTTTTTGTAGAAAAAACGTGTTCGAGATTTCGGTAAGTTTTTCTATGAATTTTATGTAATTTCTGGTGGATTTTATGTAATGATGTTATAAAATGTTTATTTTATGATAAAATTAATCATTAGACGCATTTTATTTGTTTATTGCCTTTTAATTTAGGGGGCCGACTACTGGGTTCTCGATTTTTTAAGGTTGATCCAGTACTCAGCCACAAGGGGCTGAGTACTGGTTTGTTACGATTTTCTTAGATTTCCAGTAGTCAGCCATGTATAAAAGTAAATGCACGGTGAGGGCCGAGTAATAGACTTTAAACTCCAATAGTCGGCCGTTAGTTCTGATACATAAAACTGGATCTTAATGCCTTTTAATTAGGATTAAATTTATGGTAGGGGTTTTTAACATAAAAATCTTTTATTACAGATTGTCATCATGTCGAAAAGACCAATCCACAAGTATAAAGAAGAGCAATTGTCAGAAGCTATGACCGCAATAAGAAATGGGATGACAATTAGAGAAGCTAGTCGAGTTTTTAGCGTACCACGAGGAACCCTACAAGATCGGCTACATTTAAGAGTCCCAGAAGTACCACGTCAAATGGGACCAGACTCGGTACTTTCTAAAGAAGAAGAGACTGCCTTGAAAGAGTGGTGCATAGCCTTAGCAAAATGTGGCTTTCCTTTAAAACGCGACGATCTTCTTAATACTGTCCATAATATTATTTCCCAAGAGGACAAACCTAGACCTAACCCATTTGTAAATAATAGGCCGGGAAAAAAATGGTACCAGTCATTTCTTAGACGAAATCCTGAGTTAAGTGAAAGGACACCCGAAAATATATCTAAGGGCCGAGCAGCAGTAACCGAAGAAAGTATTCGGAAGTGGTTTACTGAATTACTGAAGCATTTAGAAGATATAAACGCGACTGATATTTTGACTGACCCAGATCGTATTTTTAATGGTGATGAAACCAGTTTCTACATATGTCCCAAAACAGGAAAAGTTATTGCACCTAGAGGGTACAAGAATGTCTACAAAATCGTAAAAGGCAAAGAAAAAGAGGCTGTTACAGTTCTTGTATTTATATCAGCTTCTGGGAAGATTTTGCCTCCTTGTGTAGTGTTTCCATATGTAAGACCACCAAAAGATGTTATAAACAGTATGCCTGCTGGATGGCTATTAGGAAAATCCGAAACCGGGTGGATGAAATCAGATATATTTTATGATTATATAGTTAAAGGTTTGAACACATGGGTGGAAGAAAAAAACATCAAAAAGCCAGTTATCGTTTTTGTTGATGGACATAAAAGCCACTTAACAATGCGGCTCAGTGAATATTGTTACGAAAACGGTATTATCCTTTACTCACTTCCACCAAATGCGACACATTTGATTCAGCCTGCAGATGTAAGTGTATTTAAGCCTTTAAAGTCACAATGGAAAGATACAGTACACGAATGGGCAATTCGTCCTGAAAATGTTAATAATATTTTGAGCAAATCAACGTTTTGTCCATTGCTCAAAAAAGTTTTAGAAAAAGAAAATTTGCCTGTAATTATCAGCAATGGTTTTCGCAAGTGTGGCTTATATCCATACAATCCAAATGCCTTGGATTACTCAAAATGTGTACAAAATATTCTTGAAAAACATCAGAATTCCACTAAGAATGTTAAATCTCCAGACAAGAAAATAAAGAATAGGCATTTGAACACCGCCATCAAGATAATTAATCAGCTTAGTAACGAGCTGAAAAATGCTGGAGTTGACTCGAAAATTGTTGTTGATGTTTTAAATACAGCAAAGAATAACGATACTGAAAGTCTCAATTCAACCGAAAATTCAATTAGCCAGACACAAATAAATGACATAAGTTTTCCTAACCATACACATATTGAATCAGACATAGTGTCACAACCAGTTCAAGTTTTTGATATAATTTTACCAAATATAGGTGATTCTACACTGGAAAATAATTTGAATAACTTGACAGAAAGTGACTTAAATGACTTCGAAATTATAACCGAATTTGAAGTCATACCACAAAATGAAGTCCAGGAAACACAGCCATCAGAAGTTGCTGAATTTAATGCAAATACGCCCGAAGATCTGAACTGTCACAAAGAACCTCCGACACATGATAAGTTGAATATATCACCTAAGGAATCTGAAACAGAAACAAACATTAACCAAGATAAGATGGAGGATGACAAAGAAAATCGAATGGAAGACGAACTTTTAGAAAACCATAACTACATTACGGAGAATATAAAAATAACAAATCAAGAGTGCAGGAACCCAAACCCCACCGAAAATGATATTTTGCAAGAAAATAATACACAAAATATGCAAAACAAATTAAATGACAGTTCAAAAAATATCAAAAACAGAATAAATATCTTGTCCAATGTTGTTGTCAAATCAACAAATCTATCTCCCGTGTTAGGTAAGTATTTAACTTTACCTAGTACATCTAAGACCATAAAAAAGAAGATGTCTATTAATAGAATAGGAGCCATTTCCTCCGATGAGTGGAGACAGTTTGAGAAGCAGAAGGAAGAAATTAAGGAGCAGAAAAAGAACGATATATTGATTAAAAAAATTAAAAGACTGGAAGCTAAGGAAAAGAAGGAGAAAGAAAGAGAAAAGAAAAAAGAAGAATTACAAAAAAGAAAAGCCGAAAGGCTATTGAAGTCCAAAAACAGTAAAAAGAGGAAGAATAGTACAACATGCACAGTGAGCAGAATAAGGTGTGACTCGTGTGAAGAGGAACTGACTAGTGACACAGAAATAAACGAATTAAAGAATATTGGTTGTGACAATTGTCCTGCGTGGTATCATCTAAAATGTACTGAATTTGTTGGTGACGTTTATGAGAATGTATATAATAAAGAGTTTCTATGTCCAACATGCAAGAATAAGTAAGTGGCTGACTACAGGGTATAGACATGGCTGACTTGTGGAGAAATGAGGCTGACTACTGGTGAAAAGTGCAATATTTTGTTAAGTGTTGTTTTTTTTTATAATTATAACATAATAATAACATTTAGTTAATCTCTTTCGATAATTTAATAAACAAAGTTTCTGATAAAAATATTTGTTTTTATTTAACGTCTTTATTTTTTTATATGCAATTGAAACAAATTAAGATTCTCACTAAAAGGCTGACTACTGGGTGTTTTACCCTATTTATTCAGGTAAATGCAATAGACTCTTAAATTGTGTGATATTAAAAAATGAAACTGGGGGCATCTTATATGACCCCCTGTAGATGGTGAGGTTTTATAGACTTACATTACCTAATGTAAGGTCTAGTCAGAGTCTAGTCTAAAAGAATAATCATGAATGGTAACACATGGTCGTTTAGAAACATTGTCACGTACCAATGCATAGTAAATGTCTAATTCTAGATAAAAACTAACTCGACGTGAGCGTCAAAAGATATGCATCCTCTACCATAAATGATCCTCCACCAAGTGTAAATCGCTCGGCAATACACTCTTACAACATTTCTCTCGCCATTGCTAAAAAGATAATCCAGCATTATAAGTCGCCTTCTACCGATACACACTTATGTTTACATTTCCAACTTTGATGATTCTCACAATGGGCGGGGAATTTAAAAGCCTGTCCAAACATTTCTAATTTGTATGAAGAAATCGTCTTCCATAAGAAGTTGGAAATACATTTTTTATAATTGTTTGAAGAATAAATAAAGACTTTTGGTTATGCACATTCATTATGTGCGATTGGTATTATTTGTTGTTCGTGAATTTGTGAGGTAAGAATATCAAAATATTAAGATATTTATTATAAATGTTCATATTTTAAGGTTACGTTATTGTTTGATTAAAACTTTAATTATTTTTACATCATTTTAAGGTATTTTGTTGTTGTTTTTATTAGGGTTATTTTAAAACAAATCAATAAATGATTGAATTTACTTACAAAGTTGAAAAATATTTAAATTAATGTTTTATTCTTTTTTCGTTGCCAGTGATTTTATCCTGTAAAAGACTAAAGGTATTCGATTTCTCGTAGTTTAAATTATAATATAACATTCTGTAGAAATCTTTCTATCAAATTGCCACATTGAGTGTTTAAAAAATGTTTTTTAAATGTTGTAATACTTTTTGACTTTTTTTTAGATCTGGGTATATAATAGCTAGTAAGATATCCAGTATTACTGAATTTTTCAGTAATGACAACAAAACTACTGTTAACTATGCAAACTACGAGAAAACCAATATATTTAGTCTTATAGGAGAAAAAATCTAGCACTTAAAAAAAGAATAAAACATTAATTTAAATATTTTTCAATTTCGTAAATAAATTCAACGATTTATTGAGTAATTTTAAAATAACCCCGATAAAAACAACAATAAAATACCTTGAAATACAGTAAAAAATAATTATTTAAAAATTTTAATCAAACGATAACCATTTAGTAGAATACCTTTTTCAGTTTCGTGTAAAGCTTTGATAAATATTCTTTCAGAATACAGATTGCAGATTAGAGGAGACAAAATACAGCCTTGCCTCACTCCACGCATGATTTTCACATAGTCAGTGTGTTCACCTTCAACTCTGAGATTGTGAACAAGTTTGAAAAAAAAATAAGATATGACTTGATACTTACTATTTCCATAAGCATAAACTGCCAGCCCCACCTGTCGTCATAAATATATCTCTATTTTGAGGCAAATGCTTAACGGTCCACACCGTGGAAGAGTGTGCTTTCTCTGTCACGCAAGCAAATCCTTTCTTATGGTGTTTAGTCTTAACATCATAACAGAATATCTTAGATTCCAACGTTGTTGCGACCAGTTTATTCATGGGAATATTTTTTCGATCAAATTGAATTCCAACCACCTGTAAAGAAATAATAAGAAATATCATTATCTAAAGTAAAACTACAAAGTTACTCTATCAAAGAAACCTAATGCAAAAAAGTGTCAGGAATATAGAATCATTAGCTTAACTAGTTATTTACTCAAAACTTTTCTAAAAATAATTCACAATAGAATCTATAGAAAATTCGAATAACAACTAATACACACATAGTTTGGTTTTAGGGATATTTTAGGTAAAAAGAAGACACTTTCTGGTAGACAAGTTCTGTCAAAACGCTGCAAAACTATGACATATTTCATCAACTAGCAAGAAGCATATAATAGAATACAATAAACTAATATCTATATGGAGAAACACCGACATAGATTGCACATATTTTAAGCAAAAATAATAAATTCAAATTTGTCTCAAGTTATAACAACAGATACTGTTGTCGTGCTCAGTAGTAGTAATTCAACATCAGTCTGACTGATATTTAGACAATATAAAAGCCAACCATTGAGGCAAGTCATACATTTAAGTTTTTTCACTCTTTTTTGATAAAAAAGTAATTGAGAGCATTCTATATTTTACAAATATTTATGTATTGCAGAATAACCTTCACGATTTTATAATGAATAACATAGATTTAAAAATATATATATTAGCATGTATGTATATTATCTAGTTCACACTCTGCTTCAAGTTAATATGCATTAGTCAAAGGATGAGGATAAAGAAGTGCTCATTATAAGAGAAAGCATAAGCCGACGTAGATTTATATTTATAATTTATAATAGTGAAGAAACCGCTACATCAGTGTCAAACTTAGTACATGGATGTCAATCTAAATTTGCTTTACCAGATGAAACCAGATTCGACAATAGGCCACATTACAAAAAGAGACGATAGTGCAAGAATGTAGGATGTGCAAAAGTAATACTATTTATTTATGTAAAAGGTGTAAAATACATCTACACTTCGAATGTTTCGAAAATTTTCACCTTAAAATTTAATTTTTAAGGTAAAATATGTTTCTTTATTAAAAATTTTACTGTTTTCTTTTAAAATGAGAAAAAAAAAATCAGTTTGGTTGTAAATTAGTCTGAATTTATGTGTTTTTAATCCAATCTAATAAATTAATTGTCAAATTTCTCTTCGTATATTGAGCGGCCATTAATAGGATAATACTATATAAAGAATAAACTTGTCTCAAATTTACTTTACTTACCTCAAAAATACTTTAAAGTTAATAATAAAGTCTATTTAATAAATATATTCCCAAGAAAAAAACACACTACGCCTATGCACATAAAATATGTAGAACGAATAAACTAAAATATCATATTTTCTGATTCTTTCTAAGACTGTAAATATATATAGAACAGCAACTATTGACAAGTTTACCGATGTTTCAAACTACTCCATGAACTTGTCTCACTATACACTCGTAAATCACACCAATTTATATTGTTACGGGGGCAAATTGTATGGGACTATATTACTTTTACACTTATTTGCATGGGCGAAGCATACACAATAAAAATGACCACAGTAAGTATTTACTGCTGACATTTTACATGGTGGCCACTACCGTTTAGTTGAATTTCTAGATTAGTCACCTTTAATTGAAAATTGTCCAACTATAGATAATGTGATACCTAGATATTTAAATTCCATCACTTGTTCTATTATCTGACCTTCCAGCTCGAATTTACATCTTAAAATTTGTTGTTGTAACCATGCATTTTGACTTTTTTGGGGAAATTAAATGTTAAATTTTCTGGCAGTTATATTAAATTGGTACAGCGTACATTGTAAATCATCTTCACTTTGAGAGAGTAGCATTGCGTCGACTGCATTGCAGATTATTTTAAGTTGTTTTTCTCCCGTTTGGTATCCTTTTTTTATTATTTCGTCTTTAATCAGGTTGAACAATAGAGGACTCAGGGAATCTCCTCGTATTATCCCATTGCCAGCTTTAATAGGGTCGGTTAGTTCTTCTTCTACTTTTACTTTTATTGTGTTGTGTTGGTAGATATTTTCGATCGTTTTGATTATTCCTAGAGATATCTCTCTTGCATACAGTAAGTAGATAACGTCTTTTAATTTGACCCGGTCAAATGCCTTTGTAAGGCCCACGAAACGTAGGTATACCAGTTTGTTGTATTCTAATGATTTTTCTTGCACTTGCCTCATTTTAAATATAGTGTCGGGGCATGATCTTCCCGACCTAAAACATTGTTGTTCTTCTGCTAGTGTTATAATTTTATTCAATTTATTTGTTATCACTTTGGTTGTTAATTTTAGTGTTTTCGAGTCCGATTTGTCTCCCTTTTTAAAGGGAGGTATTAGGATGCTTGATCTCCATTCTTGAGGATTTTAGTTCTATTATTTTTGGATTAGTTTTAATAGTTGTTTGGTCAGATCTGGTCCTCCGTACTTAAGGAGTTCGTTCGGTATTCTGTCCTCTCCTAGTGATTTTCTATTTTTTAATTTCCTTAATGCTTCCATTACCTCTTTCTCCTCAATTTCGTCGTTTGTCGTCACCTCTGGTGTTGGTGGTTGATTATCGTCAGCTTTAGCAAATAGGGATCGAAAGTAGTCTACTTATGTTTCTTTCTGAAGGTGTTTCGTTATTATTAGTTCGTTTATCTCTTGTCTTTGTCCTCTGATCATTCTCCAAATTTCTTTTTGTGTTCCGTAGAAATCGTGTTCCATCTGTTTTTAGAAAACCTGCAAGTGTTCCTTTTTTATTTGTCTAACTAAAGTATTGGTTTCATTTCTGATTCGTTTATAGTGGTTGTGTGCCTGTTGTGTTTGTTGTGTTCTGTATTGTAAAAAGACGAGAAAAGATAGTAAACAATATTCGTTTGACTCAGAGGACTATGGAGTACCAGATGTTAGGTGTCTGTCTGAAAGACAGAATCCAAACCACAAAAATACGTCGTAGAACAAAAAGAGCGGAAGCTATCGAAATTGGATAGAACACGTCACCAGATTATCTGAGCGCCGATGGACAAAACGTATTGTCAAGTGGAGGCTAAGACAAGAAGCACTAAAGAGCAGAAGCCGCCCACCAACCAGGCGGACTGACGATCCGAAGCGTGTTAGCAGTAACTGGATGCAGATGGATGGGGAGAGACATATGAAAAGAGCTGACGGAGACCTATGTCTAGCAGTGGACGCGTACAGGTTGATGATGATAATGATGATTTAACAAGTTTATGCTTCTGCAGTTTTCTGGCTATTTTTAGCTATTTTAATAACGATTGTATGTAACTTTTTAAATTTGTATTTAACTGTTTTATATAGTTCTTATAAATATTTATGTGTAATTAAAATAATTAATAAATAATAAAATTACGTTATAGTCTACAGAACCGCCTACTGTAAAATTTTATTTTGTTGTGTTTTATATTGTTGTTAATTAATACTGTTATTTTCTGGAGGTAAGAATTACAGGAAGAGGAGGAGAAGATGAAAATATGGCTACTATGTACATTATACTTACACCATTTTTAAGACACTTAGACCAACGCAATGACATAGTTTTAAGATCGAACAGTTTAATATCTCCGTTATCATATCCCGCAGCAACAACCCTTTCTTCATTATTATATGAGTTGCCAAATGCAACTGACCAACAATCCCTTGCAGACGTTTCTGTTGATGGCACGAATTTAGCTACAGGAGTATCTTTTTGTCTTACATCCCACACCATAACGGTACCTGTAAACACAAATAAATTTTTACTGTTTATAGTTTTTTTATTAAGAATATATTTTTGATCATTTAGTAGTTTTCGTATTACTCACTTACTCGATTATACCATTTTTCAAGTAAAAGCGTTGCACGTCAGAATTTATATAAAGTGGCGTCACTTATATTTAAAATTTCCAGAACGTCAACCTTAGAGTTCAACACTCACATTCACAGCTATTAATACGAAACCCATACGGAACTACTCGATCTTTCATAGGCGTCAACATGGTATAATAAGAAAAATGGAATCATCATTATATTGGGAATTTTAGAATAATATTGATTAAATAAGCAAAAGCATTTGTTATTATTAATAATATAAATTTTATGAAATAACTCTTTGTCTACTATTCCACAAAATAATAATTTTAATTAAATAGATTAAACAATTGTACGCAACTGATACGGGAATATTTCAAATTTTAATGACAGTGTAGCGTGTAGCGAAATAATATAAAGTGTTGCCGCTTTTTTAGAGTAAGAATTTTGTTTATGTTTTGATTTCTTACACAATTTGATCATAATATATTATATATTAATAAATTGAATTTATAAATAGATATTAAATTTAGATTAATAGCTTTAAAATTATTATTGTTGTGTATTGTGATTGTGCTATGCCAAAACAACTAAAGTAGTGCAGTAAAACCTCGATATAAAGGACCTCTATTTAACGGACTTCGGATATAACGGACAACAAATCCGGTCAGTAAAACTGTGTTTTACAAACAATTTCAATAAAATTTAGCATAAGAGGAGCATAATTGGGATTACCGCCAGAAGAAGTGAAATGTTTATTGCTTTTAGACAACGCTCCTTCCAATGTTTTTATGTGGGCATACAATGTTTATAACAACTTTTTATTAAACTGATGATGGAATGATTCAATTCCGAAAAGATCTTTAAAATAAAAATTTTAAGCTTTTAATAAGCATTTTTTATACCTTGTTGTTGTTTTCTTATGTATTTTAGTATGTTGCAGTAGTCTTAAAACTAAATGTATTTACTGTTAATATAATAGTTTGACAAATAGTTGACATTTTAAAAATTCGTTACTTATTAACTATTCTGACGTTTTTTCTACGCTGTGGGGTTCTGACGTCGTAAATCTTGAATGATGTGCAATCATTTTTATATGAAAAAAGCTATAGGTATATGGAACTTATAATATGTTATGTTTGTTTATTTGTTTTAGTGTATTTCAGATCACTTTAATATGGACAGTTGTAACGATACTTGTCTGGATGGGAAATGGGGGATTAAAAAAGAGAAAAGAGAGTTCCAGGTACAAGCATGTTCACCTTGCAGCCGGCGCTCAGGTGTTTTGAAGGACACAATGGAGCGCTTTGGGACGTGAATCTATAGATTTAGGATGGGGTATATTTAGATAAAAAAATTGAAACGTAATAATAGAAATGACAGAATTTCCTACTAAAAGAAAGTAAAACAAAATTAACGGCACAACCTAGTCCTTTTTCGAGGGACTAGGAAAACTCGACACTTGACCTATGAGAAGATTAGTTTAAGAAAGATTCCAAACAAAATGACAAATATGCTAAACCTCTCTAAAAACCAAAATGCATACATGGTCAAAAAGAAAGATAAACAAACACACTTAGCTTATATTGTCGTTTTAACAAAAACTTAGAAACTGGTAAAATTACAAAATGCTCGTTAAATTCGATCTTCGTAACTATATAAAAAAACATGCGAAGACTACAGAATAATCATTAACCTGATGAGTCATTTTATTAAGATGGTTTTAGAAGTGATAAACAGCAGAATATACTCTTGTCCTCTGGATGCCTCAATTAAAATATCTGCAGGAAGTGTTAAACACATGGAGGTCAAAATAATCTGAAGACAAATTAAAAAATGTTTGAGAAAAATTCTTAGAGATTTTTATTTGTATCACATAATAATATCTTTAGTATATTTTCAGCTATATTGCAAAGCTTTTATATTCATACCATCTCTAGAGCCCGTCACTATTTCTGGTGCACCACATCCAGAACTTGTTCCCGCCACACCGTCAATGGAATTTATGATAGCGGTATGAGCAGTACTTTTATATACTGGCCAAATAGGATCCTCCAAATCCCTAAAACATTTTTCATAATTAATAATAAATTATAAGAACCGTCTAACATGTACAGTTACACACAAAAATGGGTATAATCTCACTCTGTTTTAAGGGATGATGAGCTCTACTCTAAGATAATTAGAGAGTGGTGACTCGAAAGAGATAGTCCAGGAAACGAAGGTTTTTACCTACAAGTTTTTAGGAAAAGATCGATTTACTTCAAAATTTGAGAATAAGGAATGGATAGTCCAAGGATCAAAATCTATATGATGCCGAAAGGCGATTTTACCATGAGGGTAGTTGCCATCCCATCTCGTGGGTAGAAATTATTTATATTTTGACAGCAAAAATTGGTAGAAAACTTAATTATAAGCTAAGTTATTACCAGTTTTCCTATTTTTTGCTGTCGAAGGTTTTAGTTTTATATATCGAAAAAATCAATGTTTTCAATCAGTTTTTTGCTAATAACTCAAAAATTATTCGTTTTATCAAAAAAACTGTAATTAACAAAAATGTACCTTTATCGACCTGTATGAATATACACTAACCAGACATATACAAGACTTGCAAAGTGAAATAGAAGATATGGATCAAACAAATGACGGCATAACAAAGGCTATAAAAAAAAATGGAAAGGACGTGCTGCTCGACCGTTCTGACCCATAAAGAAAAACTAAGCCAAAATACCACAGATCTAATAGGTAAAAGAAGACAGCTGACGAAAAAAAAACTGCTCCAACTATACAACAATGAAAAAATTAAATAGATATCCACCGATCAAATTGACTACCTGCTCTTCTTGCTCTTCTTCTTCAGCCTTTATTTAAACAATGTTGGACATAGGCCTCCTCCAATTGCTTCCACGCTTTCCTATTTTTTGCAATTCTCATCCACTGCTTTCCAGCTAGAGCAGTTATATCGTCTATCCATCTCTTTTTAGATCTTCCCACGCTTCTTTTTGTTTCTCGAGGTCTCCAGAATGTCACTTTATGAGACCATCTGTTGGTGTCTTGTCTTGCTGCATGTGCTACCCATTGCCATCTCAATGTCGCTATTTTTCCCATGATGTCGGTTACTTTAGTTCTTCGACGTATTTCGGTGTTAGGAATTTTGTCTCTGAGGCTTATATTTAACATGGCCCTCTACATGGCCCGTTGAGTTACTCTTAATTGTTATGCCATTTTTCTTGTTATTGCCATAGTTTCCAATCCATAAGTTGCAACTGGTAGTATACAAGTGTCATAGATTTTTCTGTTTTTTAAAATGAAGCTCAACTTACCAAAAGAAGCCCATGATAATTGTGTCCTTCTTTTAATTTCTAGGGTTTGATTTTCCTTTTCGTTTTTAATTGCATGTCCTATATATATATATATATATATATATATATATATATATATATATATATATATATATATATATATTGTTCTACCTTTTCTATATTGATGTTATCTATCGTGATGTTTTCTAGGCTGTTGCTTAATATTTTTGTTTTGTCGATATTCATTTTTAATCCTATTTGATTCGATTTGTGATTTAAATCTTGTAGCATTGATTTTAGTTCACGGATATCTGTACTTATTAGTACTATGTCGTCTGCAAAACGCAAGTGGTTAAGATATACTCCATCTATTTTTAATCCATTTTCGGCCCAATTTAGTTGTTTGAAAACATTTTCTAATGCCAAAGTAAATAACTTGGGTGAGATGGTGTCGCACTGTCTCACACCTTTGCCAAGGTCTATTTTCATAGTTTCCAGATTATCATCTATTTTTAAGTGAAAAGTAGCATCATCGTATATATTCTTAAGGAGGGCAGCATATCTTGAATCTACTCTGGCGTCGTCCAATGCTGTTAATAAAGCCCATTTCTCGATACTGTCGAATGCTTTGTGATAATCGACAAATGCCAGATATAGTGGTATGTTGTACTCTATTGTTTTTTCAATAATGGTCCGAATTGTTTGCAAGTGATCGATAGTGCTAAAACCCTTACGAAAGCATGCTTGCTCCACTGGTTGGTATGCATGTAGTTTAGCTGTCAATCTATTTGTTATTATTCGGATTAGTAGTTTGTAAAGGTGTGACAATAAGCTTATTGGTCGGTAGTTTTCTATATTTGCGGCGTCCCCTTTTTATGGAGTAGAATGACTTCCGTATTTTTCCATGTCTTCGGTATTTGTCCTTACAATAGGCATTTATTAAGTAATGCTCTTATTGCCTCTTCTAATGCAGTGCCTCCCATTTTTAGCATGTCTGAAGTAATTTTATTCTCCTGGTGTTTTCCCATTTTTCATTTGTTTTAGGGCGGCTCTAATTTCTGATGTTATTATTTCAGGGAAGTCCTCTGAGCCCATATTTAAGATATGTTTTGTTAGTATACCGGGATTCGGAATAGTAGAAGTATACAGCTTCTCATAAAATTTTCGGATTTCTCTAACGATCTCTTCCTTATGCGAGCACAATGTTCCAAGGTCGTGTTTTACCTTTATGATTTTATTCCTGCCAGTGGATTTACATGTTTTTAGTACTTTCATGTTCTTATTGTTTTCTATGGTTTCAAGAATCTGGTTTGTTCTATAAACTCTGAGGTCTTTTCGAATATTTTTCTTAACGCTTCTGTTGCGCGCTTTATAGTCCGGGTTATCTCTGTTCGTTCTTCTTCTTTTCTCTATCTGTTCTAGAGTTTCGGGTTTTAGTTTAGCTTCCTTTTGTTTTCTTATTCTGCAACAAAGTTTCTTAGTGACTGTTTGTATGTCTTTAGTTATTTTCTCAGCTAGTTCATCTATATTCTTGTGCTAAAAGGTATTTGCTACTAGTTTTCGTGCTAATTCCTCTTGGTATTTCTCTTTATTACTCGCTAGGATGTCTACGTCGGTAAAGGGTTTGTTGTTAATAGTTTTCGTCTTTCTCTCTTTACGTTAATACGTACCTATATCAGCACGAACTAGTCTATGGTCACTGCCGGTGTTAAATTTGTTCAATACCTCGATGTTTTTACATATTGATCTATCACTGGAAAGGATAAAATCTATTTCATTCTTAACCTGACCGTCAGGACTACGCCATGTCCACTTTATTTGTATTTGTTTTTTATAGAACGTGTTCAGGCAAAACATTTTTTCGGTACTTACGTAATTTGTTAATGTTTCTCCTCTGGTGTTTCTGTTGCCTAGACCGAAATGTCCTATGTAGTCTGAGTCACCTGGTATTCGCCGCCCTATTTTTGCATTAAAATCTCCGGTGATGATAACATAGTGTGTTTTTTCTAGGTCTTTAGCTCGCGTTATATCTTCGTAGAGTTGTGCAATTAACTCGTCATCTGCAGTGGAAGTTGGAGCATAGCAGTGTATTATCTGTAAGCTATATCGTTTATTCAGTTGTAATACAAGATAGATCACTCTTTCCGACACTGCTGAGTATTTCACAATCTGGTGTTCTATTCTTCGGTTGACCATGAAAGCCAATCCTCCTTGGCCGTGGTTCTCTTCTGAATTATATTGGACTACCTGCTCATCCCCAAACAATACCGAAATTCCATAAAATCAGTAAAATCGTACCTCGAAGATGATGTGAGATCAGATCACAACCCAGTTGTAGGAAGGTTTAGAAATAATCTAAAAAAGCTTGTGGATATAAAACTAAAGTAGAAAGGATACCAGTATCTCGTTTAAAAGATTCATCAACAAAAGAGTAAATCACACTAAAAATTAAAGAAGAGCTCACCAAAATAGAAATTATTCCTACTGAAGATGCGAACAGGAAATCGCATATGTTAAAAAATGCTCTTATACGCATATGTAAGACAACTCTAACACCTAAGCTGATCAAGAACAAAAATGAGATTCTGGATCTCATGGAAGCAAGTAGATCTTATAAAACCAAAGACAAAAAGGTGTATAATATTATACATACAGAAGTATAGTGACACATGCCAAGAGATTGAACAGTTGGTAGAGAAACATGATAACTTAAACCTTCATAAAAAAAATTAGGGAAATAACAGGCACTAACATTAAGAAAAAATTAAACATACTGCTGGATAAAAACGGCAAAATAATTATAAACGTCGGTGAAAGGCTTAACAGATGGCAGGAATATATTCAAGAGCTATTTAACGATGAACGGACTGAGATAGTATTAACAAGGCAACAGATCCCAGATCCGGGCGAAATACCTGTACACATAATATTAAGTTTAATGAGTGATACGCTCAAAATATTTTAAAAAATTATACACCGGAGAATACACAACAAACTTGAGCAGGACATAAGTGACACAATGTGGATTTAGAAATGCACTGGGAACTAGGAAAGCCCTGTTCGCTGTAAATGTACTTGTGGAAAGATGCATGAATGTTAATCAGCCAATATATATGTGTTTCTTAGAATACAACAAAGCCGTCGATAAGGTCAGACATAACCGTCTTATCGAATTACTTGAAAAGAAAAACTTAGATATGAAAAACATTAGGATGATTAGCGCTATCTATTATAATCAGATCGCTGTGGTAAAAGAGAACAACGTCTTTTCAAATGAAATACAGATTGAGAGGGGCGTCAGGCAGGTCTGTGTCCTGCCTCCTACTTTGTTCAATTTGTGTTCAGAGGAAATAATCCAGGAAGCACTAGAAGAACTAACTATGGGAATAAAAGTAAACGGCAGACCCATGGACGTATAAACACAGATGGACTCAGTTATTTACATAAAATTGTGTAGTCAAAATTATTTGAATAGGTCACATTCTCAGCACCTTCAACTGTTGTCACGTTTTGTTTTAAAATTTCTTATTCGCGAGTCGCTAAAAACTTTACTCCGTATTTTATACTCTACAGGTGCTATCAAACAAAAATAATAATTTATTGGTTAGATTAATATATTTAATTGTAATCAAAATATCAAGTGTGCATTATCATTTAATAATAGCGTATAATAAATATCAATCAATTATTTTATATGTAAAAGCACTGAAACCTATTTATAAATGGCAACGGTTGTTTACATTTCTCTGCCTTATGGATA